AGCAGGAATATGGATAAGGATGAGCTAGAACGGATGAGAGGAAATTTTGGCAGGGAAACAATATGAAGCAAAAAGAATATAGCAACTTCTGCTTGAGTCAGTAGTTTGTAATGTTAATGTTTGGTTTGTGTGTGTGTTAAGAACATGCAGAATTGTTGAGAGCTGTTTCTCAAACAATAAAAATACTCAGCTAAATTTCTAAAGGATGTTTTTTAGAAATTGTTTTTGGTATAGGAGTAATCTGTGTTGTGTTCCATACTGTACATTCTATAACTTAATCTTACCTGAGAAGTGCCTTTACTTTTCCAATGGACCTGTCTTCTGTTATTTTTTTGCAACTGTTGTGAATGTAATTATGAAATATGGAGAGAATTACATTGTATTGTGCTCCTGGTAATCAAAGACAATGATTTCTGTTTTTATAGTACATTTGGGAACGCCTTGCTGTCGGTTTTAAACACAAGAATTACCGATCCCGAGAAGGAGTGTGTTTGTGTCTTATTGCTACCTTAAACATGTAAGCTTTTTGTTTCTATGGAGACATAATGGTTCTATCCTTCTTCTGACTGTCATTTTTCTCTGAAAGTAATACTTCAGGAAGTCTGATTCAATTAAATTAATAAATGGGAAAAATCAAACAACTTAACTTGTGAGCTTTCTGAAAGAAAGACTAAAGGTATAGTATTTTTGTCTTTTTTAAAAGTAGACAAAGGACTAGCAAGAGAGAGATGGAGCTTGACTGATGTCAGTTTGCATTTTATCAGTGCTAACCTAAAAGTTCACTTCTGCATAAAGTATTTTCTGTTTTTCTTTAAAAAAATACATTTAACTTATTTTATTTTGTTTTTTTTTTTCTTTTTTTAGTTATGGTGCACAACCATTAATCCTCAGCAAGTTGGTACCACATCTGTGTACAGCGTTTGGTGACTCGAATAGTCAGGTAAGGATTTCATTACTTACTGTTGCTTCAACAACTATACTTTGACAGAGGAATGAAAGCAAAATAAATGTAGGCATTTAAGAAAAGCTGATAGGCTTGCTTGTATACAACAGATCATTGTTTTCTACCATGAGAAACAATAAACCCATTTTCTTCTGAATCAGTCCATCCAATGGAACGTGAAAGTAGAGTTGTAAAGGCAGCAGTGTTGCGATATACTGGCTCCTTTAGTTTTGTCTTCAGAGGTTGAAACTAGTCATTACTGAAAATAGTTGCTTCTAATAGAGCATGTTGAAAGAAAAGGAAAAGAAAATACTGACAGGAAGAACTGCCTCCAGAAGGAGCCCCTACATGAGACCTGTAATAGTCTGCCAAATTTGCTAAAGATAACATTATCATGTGCAAGACAGGTAATAATTTCCTAAATGGAACCCAAATGGCATTTGAGCACATGCAAGAACTGTAGTTAAAATCAGTTAATTAAGCAAAAACAACTACAGTGAAGATCGAGATGTAGTTCATAATGGTGACACCTGAACTTCAGAAAACCTTCAAATGGAAATGGATAAGATCTCTCTGGATTTATCTGAAGTTGTGTCTGAGAGAAAAGACTAAGAATACAGTAAGGAAGAAAGTAGCATTGGCAGGAGGTAGGCAAGTAAACAGGATAGGTCTTTATGCTTATTTTTCAGGTGCAGCGAAGTCCTTGCCTGCTCTGTATAGCAGCATTGTTCTACTCTAGAGAAAATCTGTTAAGAATTTGTCTTGTTTGTTGATCATTAGTAAAGATGTAGTTCATATCTTGATAGAGCAGTTGTGGGTTTAGTTTGAACTGTTACAAAGAACAATACTAAAGTCATTCCAGTAATTCTTTATAGAGAATAATGGCATTTACTAACATGCATTTTCGGCAGTTTTTATTGTGATGACTATGTTTAAATTTTTTAAAGAGGCACTCCATCTCCTTGCTTTAACTGTTCTTTCCCTTTCCCCTGTCTTGTCTTACTCCCTTTCTTGTGCTTACGTGATGCCATGTAATTCCTGTTGAAGGAAGTAAAGATAACGCTGATCACTTTAGCCCATGCTTGTGGACAGTCAGGTCCTCAGTTTTCCAGAAGGGCCTCACTGCATGTAGAAACAGATGAAAGCAAGATGAAGTGTCAAGACTGAGTGCAGAGGCTAACTTTTGGAAGTATTGCCCACTGTGATAGAGTCCTAAAAAAAGCACGTGTTTTCCACAAGTATTATTCTTATGTCAATCCCAGAAATTCCCTCTAGAGCTGTTACTTCTAGGACTTTTCAGGTACCATCTGGAGATGCTCTAACGCAGAACAAGTACCATCTTGAAATAACAGTTGTATTTCCTTTCCCTTCCATCCTCATTGTTTCAACTGTTTTGTGAAATGAGTTGGCATGCAGGTCGATAGAAACTGGAAGATTAGTGGGTTGTCAGCAAATGTTGTTTTGGTTTCTGTAACCCAGAAATTAACAATTTAAACTCTGTGTTCACAGGTGAGAGATGCTGCCATAGCAGCCATTGTAGAGGTTTATAGACATGTGGGAGAGAAAGTACGAATAGATCTTACAAAGAGAGGAATTCCTCCCGGCAGGTGAGTTAGCTGTTTTGGTTTTCTGATCCTGAGCTGTTCTGTGTTACTGTTCTTTATCAGAACTTTAAACTCATTAAAAACTTTGTTTTGAAATTACTGTAATTTTTATTTTATCTTCTCATTAGTTTTGCTTCTATTATGATGCTACTAGCGTGCCTGACTTTCTTTTGCTGTTGTGTTTTCTGCTTGGAAGAGGCATACAGGTGTATGATGAAAAGCAGCCTTACTGTCACCAGTTAAAATCCCCTGACTTAAGAGAAGCTGAGAGCTGGACACTAGTAGAAAAATGTTTCAAAATTAAGCAAATATATACTGAGTGCAGTGGGGAAATAATTAGAAAATACTTGAATATATACATCTTGTTCCTTATTCTAGAGTTGCTGTTCAGCCTCAGTGTAGAGGAGTCTCAACTGAAGCACTTAAATCAATACTTTTTCATGTATTACGCGTGTGTGAGGGAGACCAAGTGTGTGCATACATGTGTAAGTAGGCAGTGAAAGTATGGCAAATCAACAAGCTACTACTTTCTTGAAGATAGTTGTAATGGAAAAATTGTCCTCCCTTGCTTCTTGCTAATTAACATCAGACCAACCCTTTCCACCCAAAACATTTGCTTATGGGCTACAGTTAGATGAGAGAGAGGTGCTTTTCAGAATAACTACTTCCCGATTCTGAAGTTGCAATTCTGGGGTTCAATGAGAAAGGAGCATTCAAAAGGAGTGTTCATTGGTCTAACTGTTACACATGCCATCGCAGGACACTGGGTGTTTCTTGCAAAAGGTGCAAGGAAGTTTTGAAAATGCGTACTTAATCGGTCCTTTCTTTTTCTGAAAAGCAATTCCAATCTTTAAAGGCTGGTCTGTGTTGTGTGTAGATTAGTTTATATGAAATAAAAGGCCTTTCTAAAAAACTATTAGCCCTGGTTTTTAATGATGATTTGTAGGGTATCAAAATATCATAGGAGAATGGTGTTGAATTTACTGTTTCAAATTCCAGGCAGAGTTCAGCCCGTTTGGACAAAAGCTTATCCTGCCTATGGGAATGGGAAGTTGTACACATTCTCTTCTATCTAACGGCTGTCACAAGTTTAGACTATTAAGAGATTATACGGTTACCACAAAGCTTAAGCCATATTATTAATACAATTCCAAAAATTGAGTTTCGTAGCAGATAATTGAAGCATACCAGAGAAGATTCTTCTTGCGTTAAGATAGGGTCTTGGACATCTTTTGGAACAGAGAATAAGAGCAAAAGAGTGCAGATAACAGCCTTTGTTTGTACTATGAATGTCGGGTCTGACCATAAGTTTAGGTTCAGCACTCATCCTGTTCACATTTCCATGTGATACAAACTGAGTAAATCTTGAGATCCAAATAGGATTAAACACCATAGGAGCTTCGTATCCTCAGGGCAATCAACAGCTGCTATTTTAGTTGCAGTAGGTGCCAAATTGTTATTTCTACTGTCTGAATCAGTTGAATACAAAATTCCCCCTGATCTGAAAGCAAACATAGTTGTACCATTTGCATTTACATAAAGAAGCAAGGCTCTACTTGGTGCATGTTAAACGGGCTGTTGCCACTGTATCTCAACAGTTTTGTACCTGACAGTCAAGGCTAGTGTAAAATAATACATGAGCTGAGTCTCAGTGCTGCGTCCTCTGCAGGAGTTTTCAGGTTGGGTTGAAGGGGGGGAGTTAAGATTTATTTGAGTTGAGCATGAGGCTACTAGTCTCTGTCCCATCCATCGCTGACAGAAAGCCGAGTTCCTGTGTTATTTCTACTGTCTGAATCAGTTGAATACAAAATTCCCCCTGATCTGAAAGCAAACATAGTTGTACCATTTGCATTTACATAAAGAAGCAAGGCTCTACTTGGTGCATGTTAAACGGGCTGTTGCCACTGTATCTCAACAGTTTTGTACCTGACAGTCAAGGCTAGTGTAAAATAATACATGAGCTGAGTCTCAGTGCTGCGTCCTCTGCAGGAGTTTTCAGGTTGGGTTGAAGGGGGGAGTTAAGATTTATTTGAGTTGCGCATGAGGCTACTAGTCTCTGTTCCATCCATCGCTGACAGAAAGCTGAGTTCCTGTAGTCTGTTCTTACTCCTTCACACAAGTAACAAGGCAGTTGACAAAGCTCAGGAAAGACAGATTAGCTCTATGGTAGCTCAGGCTGCTGTTCCTTCAGAGGCAGACCTAATTTAAGATGTTTCTTCCCCAGTGCCTGTCAGAAGTTTTCCCTTCGCTTAGATGCATTAAAATTTTCATGTGGTTATGCATGAGCTATGATCTGTGGAAAAAAACCTTTGATGCAAAGTATCATCATTGTTTTGAGGGGAATCTGTTCATATTTGTGCGTCTGGGTAGGTTTTAAGGGTTTTAAGTATTACGGATAATCTGTGGTTCAGACACAGCTGCTTTCAGTTGTTGAGTTCGGCCTTAAAGAACTGCACTGCAGTTCCTTCACTGTATGACAGTGCATTAAAAATTGTGTGTAAACATAAATATGAGCAGAAACCCCCATTACTTCATTATTTGGTGCACACCTGATTTAATAGAACATAGGCTTGTTTAGTTTACATAACGAATTACACATTAGAGATCTGTGTGTTGCTGCTTGAATGCACTCTGCCCTAAAGCACTAAAAATAAGAGCTCATGTCTCCTGAAAGGAAGGCAGGAAAGTTAATCAAACATTGTTTTGAGAAATTGTTCAACTTCCTTAAATATGAAAGTGGTGTATACATGTTGTGTCTATATAAAGCCAAATGTAGTTAGTCATTTAATAATAGTAGGCTTAAAAGGTTTTGTAACCTGCACCTGGTAGGCTTGCCTTTGTGGAAAATTCTGGATTTTCTAGAGAAGGTTTATTGGACCTGTTGGAGTCTAGGTAGTCAACAAAAGAAGATGGGATCTTATTTTGTAGTTCAACTCTACTTGTTACTATTGTATTTTTCTTCAGAACATTTTTATTCTTTACAGAGAGTAATTTTTGAGTTTGTTTATGAACAAAATCCATGAGTTCATCTTTCTATTTGTTATTTTTCAACTTACAAATCTTGGAATAATACCATGGTTTTTGTCTGAAGCACACTCCTTTTTCAGAAAAATCAGTATCAAGTCAGTGGTTGGAAATTTGGGTGTTGTTTTCCCTTTTGTTAAAGTTGCTGCCAGAGGGGTTTGACAGTCTTTGGTATCAGGCCTGTAAGTATTAGTGATAATACATTTGTAAATACTGAAAGTGGATGTTATATTTCTTGTTCTCTGAGCCCAGAATAGTGAACAGGTTTTGTTCTATATGGGCCAAATTGAATTTGTTACAGTATGGAATCTGTATGGCTGATCTTCCCTGAATGGAAATAGTATATGTGGCTCTGGATAGCAGTTGTGTAGTCTGAGTGTTAAAAGCTTTTTAAGATCTTTCAGGAAGTCATCTGACAACTTTTCGCACTGTTACTTGAGAAACATAAGCGTATAAAACCAGTTACTTGTTTAGTTCTTATGTCTAGGGCCACAACTTCATATACCGAAATGTTAAAGCATTTTGCAGTATGCATTTCTGAATCCTGCATTTTATGTGGTATGCACATTCTACTTATCTGTCTAGTTCATGTTGTAGATGAAGTCTATCTGTGTCCATCTGTGCAAGATTTTTTTTTTTTTTTTTTTTGGAAGGGGGAGGCAAGGGGAAGTATGTGCAAGGTTTCATATAGGCCATTTCCTGATTTAGGCTCACTTTGGCCATGAAGAACAGCCTAGTTACCACCCTTTCTTCTTTATCCTCCTGCTGTTGACAGGGGAGCGGTGCCTTTTTGCCTCTTCATCACAAGGTCCAAATTTTTAGGTATCCCCCCTTGCCTGTGTCCTGGTTTCGGCTGGGATGGAGTTAATTTTCTTCCTAGTAGCAGGCATAGTGCTGTGTTTTGGATTTAGTATGAGAAGAATGTTGATAACACACTGATGTTTTTAGTTGTTGCTAAGTACTGCTTATGCTAGTCAAGGACTTTTCAGCTTCCCATGCTCTGCCAGGTGCACAAGAAACTGGGAGGGGGCACAGCCAGAATAGTTGATCCAACCTGACCAAAGGGCTATTCCATACCATATGATGTAATGTTCAGTATATAAACTGGGGGGGGTTGGCCAGGGAGCAGCAATCGCTGCTCAGGAACTGTCTGGGTATCGGTCAGCGGGTGGTGAGCAATTGCATTGTGCATCACTTGCTTTGTATATTATTATTATTATTGCATTGTTATTATTATCATTCCTATTTTACTTTATTTCAATTATTAAACTGTTCTTATCTCAACCCAGGAGTGTTTCTCACTCTTACTCCTCCGATTCTCTCCCCCATCCCATTGGGGTAGGGGGAGTGAGCGAGCGGCTGCGTGGTGCTTCGTTGTTGGCTGGGGCTAAACCACGACACTCTGGCATGCAAAGAGTTGAACTCCATCAAGCATGGTCATAAACAATGGCTTTTCAGTATAGAAGTGTAGTGCATGTTCTTTGCTAGCATCTGCATTTCTATGTGCGTGCACATCAGCTCATGCTGTGTCTTAGAAGGGTATATATTCCTCTCATTGAACGTAATCGCCACAATATGTTAATCCTTTAATAGAGACCTGTCACCTGCTGCAGGAGAGGGTTTAGCAGGTTGCCAGGAGGCCCCATCTAAAGGGCTACAACCTCAGACATTCATTCACGGAGACAGCAACAGTTATCCAGCCCATGCAGAAGTGGCCTGCTGTCCCAAGCATGTGGCTTTTGTCAATGGGGATTTTTCCTTCATATGTGAAGGTGCAGAAGACCTGTCTGTGCCTTTTTGGAGAAAGAAGATAATATTTCTGCTCACTGGTGACATAGTATTTCTGTTGACTGATGACTTCATTGATTGATTATGCGTGTCATATCCAGACTTGGGCTTGCAGATATGAGATAGAGGAGTAATAATGCTGCTCTTCCTAAAGAACGTTCCTCATTGCTGATGATGGTGAAACCAGTCTTCACCCTGTAAAGCCCTGTAAACTTTCCTGAATTCCTCTTGGCCAGGCTGTCTTTTGCCAGGAGCTGAAGTCCTGTAAACATGCTTAAATTGCTCATGGTTGCAATAATTTTAGAGAACTTAGCCCATACTACCTTGCTGCCTGTGGCTGTGTGAAGAAACAGAAGAGAAGGTGGTAACCTGAAGAGCTGGGTGGGAGGAGAGGGAGGAAGAAACATGTTGTGAGAGTCTTTGCAAAGTGGTAGTTACAGTTTTTGTAAGCTGTACTAAAGAGAGGGTTGGATCTACAGTAGTGCTTGACCATTTTGTCAGCTGTGGTTTACCTTTTTCTTTTTTTTTTTTTTTGTAATTATGACAAAATACTATAGCATGTGCCTCTGGTCATAAAGGTATGCTTGAAAGCTTTAGGAGCGTCAGTACTGTGCTGTTCTCCAGCCTGCACCACTGACTACATAGCTCTACTACATCCAGTGCTGACAAACACATTATTTAATGTTCATAGCACTTTATTAGATATTGTGTCCAGAGTGAGAGGCAACATGTGTGTTGTTATAATGTATTTATAAGGAAACATTTTTGTGTTTTCTTCTGTTTAAAACACTCAGGAAAGCATTTTTGAAAACTAAGTTCAAAAGAGCAGGAAATATTTTTTTTTCTTTTGAATTCTCTAAAATATGTGTGCCAAATGCATACCATCAGCCTAACAGGATATAAAAATTAAAGTGAAATTTTAAAGGAAATCTGTTAATCTCTCTAGTCTTCCTGTGCAATTTCTCTCAGGATAACAGTTTCAGCCTTTCAGATGTAGTGTTAAGTCTTCCTCATTAACTAGGCGGACTGTTAATGCAGTGTTTAATACGGAATCCAGCAGTGTTGAGGGGACCTCGCAGTCACTGGTAAACAGTAAAAATACTTCCCATGGCACATATGAAGCAGATGCATTAACTTCCTTTTACGAAAGCAAGATGGCATAATGCATTACTATGTGTATTGATTCTTGTGTGAACTTTTCACTTTGTACGTTTGAAAGCACATAGCATGTTAATGCGATTCCATGTGTCATTAGTAAATGCTAGCACCCAAAAAGCATGTCATATAATAACTGTAGTTTTAGTTTTTCAAGTCTAAGTGCAAAAAAAAAAATATTTTGGTATAAATTGCCTTTGGTTTACAAATGGACCTTTTCATGAAAAGACTGAGGTTTAATACTAAAGCAGCATAGTGTGACATTTGTGAATTGCTGCCATTTCAGGCATTTTGCTGGGGCTGCAATGGTTGTAAATGCAATGGTGGCGCAAAAGGGAGAGGATAATAGGTTCCAGAGAGAAGACTGACAAGTACGTTAGGGGAAGATTAGGCAAACTATTACAGAGCTACATATAGTTTTGAGATAAGTTGAGATGGTAGAATAACTGCTGGTTTGTGTTATGGGTTATTGACTTACACGATTAAGGGGGTTTTGGTTTTGGTTTTTTTAGATGCTTGCAGTAGGGTAGGCCTTTTTGTGGAATTCTCAGCTAAATCTGGGTAGTTCTTATTGTGGCCCTGTTAACTCCAGGACAAATACGCTCTGTAGCAACTTGCTTTGAAGTATTTGGAAAGTAAAAATAACACATTGTGAGAGTCCTAAAACATTGGAAAGTGTGGGGAAAGGCTCAGGCTTTTTATAGTGTTGTCTGGCTGCCTTTCATGATTTGATCACATTCCTCATTATTAGATAAATGAGGTACCAGTGAATGAAAGGGGTATGCAGTGTGTCAGAGAAGGTAGACTGTGCACAGTCTCTCTACACGGATCATTGAGTAAAAGTGGTGTGTGCATAAGGAAATGTTGAAGTTAAATCTTTGTGTGTTCTTGACTTTGCTCCTTTATTGTGAGAATTTTCATACCTAAGGACTATTATCCATTTTTCTTGGTTTGTCTTTCAATAGTTTGGATTGTGAGTTGTAAACAGAGCCTTTCTGTATCTGCTCTTTTAGCAAATTTTAAATTGGGTAATAAAGTCTCTAGGTAATGTAGCTTAACTGTACCTGTTTGGAGACCTGCAGACTATCATGTGATTTGTAGTTCATAACTGTGCATTTAAGGTCAGGATTCAGTCCTGCTAGTCTTGTAGCTAAAAATTCACGTGCATGTTAGCTATTACCATATTCTGAGTAGTCTAAAATGCAGAGAAGTCTTTGGAGAAATGTAGGAAAATGTTCTCAATCGTTTGCAGCTGAACAGTGTATTATGTCAGTACAAACTCATTGCTGGTGTGTGGGTCACATTCTTTCTGTGAGATACTTCCACTGCTTTTATTGAGCTTTCTGCAGAAGTGATGAGAAATGGCTGTTAAAGTGTTTTGCCAGCTTTCTGGCTTGAATAGCATTTTCTACCTTGTGGGACTAGGTTGCAAATCTGAAGTTTTTAATAATAATGCTGCTCAGTTTTGTTCTTTGCTAAGCTGACTTAGTTTTCTGTGCATTTGTGTGAAGATGCTCAACTGACTTAGAGAAGTCCTTTGGGAATTGTTTCTAGATACTCATAATCCCTTGTATATTCTGTATTACTGCTTTATATACAATAATAAACTGATTTCTGTTTTTCTAGTAACCTGGGGGATTTCAGAGATGTAAAAATATTTTTTGTTTTTCTTTACAGGTTGCAAACAATCTTTGCAAAATTTGATGAAGTAAGAAACTCTGGAAATATGATTTTAAGTAGCATCAGTGGTGAGTATGAAAGATCATATATTTATAATCAGCTTTAGATTAATACAAGATACATGTTTAAATGCTAGCATTATCGATGTGAGATGGATGACTAGAAACATATGTAAGTACTAAGAAAATGAGACACTTAGTGAAAGAAACTTATATTGTGTTACTGAAAGTATTTTCTGGACTGCAGTCAGAATACAGTTGGAAAAGGTGCTGAAACTGCATGGAAACAAGCAGTGAATCTTTTAACAAGTTACATGTGTGCTCAGTAGAGGATACAAGAATCCTGCAAAGTATTCATGCATGGGGGGGGGGGGGGGAAGAGCCTTTATTCTATCTTACAGTATGTTTCTAAAAGAAAATGGTAGTTTGGTGATGAATGTGTTTGATTTCTTCTCAGTTAAAATGATGAATAATGAATATAATACATGGAGTTTTAAATTACAGAAATAGGTCATTGCAGCATTCAAATATGCTTAATTGTTGAAGTTAAGACTTTATTGTACTAGGTTTGAGCTCTTTGTTTTTGGTGTATTTCATGAAAAGAAAACCCATTGTGCAGAGAATCCTTGTTGCTTCCTACTGCATTCTTGATATAGTATTTTATAGTGTAAAAGAGTAAAACCATAGTTCTTTCTTCCTTAAAACTATAATTTAAGAAAAGACTGTTACATAACAACACAACGAGGGAGGTGATGTGGCAGTGGCTTTAATATAGTTGGTTTTGAAACCTTCATTGTCTTCTGTGAAGAATCAGTAGATCTTGTTTTATAGGGGAGGGTTCTCTGATGTTCATTTTCCTTTCAAAGCAACTATGCTGACTGAAAAGGATGCTCTGCTAGATCTAAAAAGTGTAACTATGAAAGTAGAAATATTTTGAGGAATGCATATGATTTGTTAATGTATATATACCTTTTAATTTTAAATATTCTCACCCTTTTCTTGTTAGTGTGAAAACAGAAGAGACTGTAGGTTCAAATGAATCTGTTTTTACAACCTTTTCTTTGAGATAGTAAGAGTTTCTATGCTGCATTCTGCTTTGAAATAAAACATTGCTATTCTTGAACACTTAAAGAATACAAAAATAGATTTGTAAGGATTAATATAAAAAACTAATTTTGGGGGAAAATGTTTTACATAAATGTGCTAGATTGTTAATTTACTCATTGTGGAAGGGTAAACCCTTATCTGTTGCATTTAAAGTTAATACTGCTGCATAGGTTTGAGAGGTTCAAAGATGCATTATTTTACATGTTTTTTTTTTTTGTTGGTAGTTCTCAGGAGAATGGAGAAAGTTACATGAGGGAATATAAATGCATTGAAATAATTTAAATATATATGAAAATATATATACAACATTGCTGGACTAGTTTACATAGCACTTTAAGCTTTTTGTCTCTGTTTTAAGGGTTGATTAAGGTTATTTTTCTTTAGGCCGTTTTTATCTCATCTGTAAAATGCAGATATTAATGCTGATCTACAGCAGTATAAACCATTTATTTTGTCTGGTAGGTGGCGATTTCTATGCAAAGGTTACTATGATTCTGTTTTGGTACCATAGAGACAGAATCCCTCTAGTATGTTGGTTTCGGTATTTTTACTTGAACCTGGTTTAACTGTTGCATCCATCTACACAATTTTTTTTTAATGGTATTGAAAATATACTCTTCCATTGTTAGTGCTTTATCTTGGCTTTGTCCTTCATTATTCTCTGAAGGACAACTTGTATTTACCGCTTGCACGTGTAGATTGAAAGTTACTGTTGAATTCCTGTAGCCTTGTTACCAACTTTTTTTTCAGGGGCTTTATCAAACATCTGTGGATAAAGGCCAAATTTTCATGTCTAAATATATCTGCTACAGTGAGGATTTTTTTTAGTGCTTTGGGTATTTTGGAGGAGGGTTTGGAAAGGTAGGGGGGAATAGGGTTATGTTTC